TTCAATTGCCAAGTTTCTGATTGCCTGTCGCTGCTACCAACTAACGGATTATATTCTATGATGTTCTTGGACTTGTCATTATAAAATTTCGACTACGGCAAGATTTATTTATCTGAACCACTCTGGAAATAATTTATTAATAATTAATAAACCATCTATGGTGGTACATCAATAATTTAAAACAAAGTACTTGTAGCGTACAGCCGAAGAGATAAAAGTTGGAAAAAAATTTAATTTGAACCACGTTTGACGTAATGAAATGTCAATACGTATGATACGGAAGCACGAAATTCCCTGAGAAGAATTCGTCATTGCTTATAGCATCTCATCCCGAGACCTGTAATCCGAAATTAAATAAATAAATAAAAACGCCTTTATTTTAAACTCGGCGAAGGCCAGCTATGCTGTTAACTTAACCGAGCATCTAAAAAGTAACAAGTAACAACAAGCCAAAAAGCAAAGTAATATGACAAGAAACAAGTTTTACATTACATTAATTTTAGAATATTACATAACAATGAACAATAATAGCTACAGATGTACGTATACAAAGAAAATAAGCAATAATAAACAAATTATACTTCACAGAAGCAGTTGTTTTAGTTTTCGTTTGAACATATTAGGAGACATATCTTCAAATTGACCTATATTGTATTGGTTTAGAAGTTTGACTGATTTATAGGAAAATGAGCTTTGAGTCATGGTTTTAGCTATTTTAAGTATTTCATAAAGTACATTAAAGCGTGTTGCACGAGAGTGATTCAGATTTCTACGAGTTAATTTTTCAATCAGATATGGAGGGCTTTTAGTTTTAATCAATTTATGAAGGAAGCAAGCAAAATGCAGCTTTTCTCGATTGGAAACATTCAACCATTTCAGTTCGGAAAGTTTATGACTGACATGATCGTGACGTCTAAGCTGGTAAATAAGTCGTATGTAAGACTTCTGCACTTTTTGGAGTTTAGCCTTAGTAAATATACTAAGTGACATATAAATCCGAACACCCAATTTAAATGGTTTTATTTTAATAAAAGTTGGTGAATGTATTTATCTTACTGTAAATAACAAGTGAAAACATTTTCAGCCTTCTTAGTTGGACATTCCGGTTTTTATACTGCTTTTTTTTAATTCACTAACGCTCTAAAAATGAATATTTCAGCCGCAGTAAAGAATCAACGTTGGCGGATTTTGGTTCTTGACATCCTTTACGATCGGTTACGATGCCTAGAGTACGGAGACCTGTACGATTTCGTCAACTTAGTGAGTTTGATAGGGGCCGTATAGTGGGACTTCGGGAAGCTGGACTGTCTTTTCGGGCAAGTGCAGTTAGAGTGCAAAGAAGTGTAGAGACTGTGGTTAGGTGTTGTCAGGCATGGCTTCGAGAAGGCCGTACGCAAAGAGCAAGGGGCACTGGACGCCGCCGTAGAACAACAGACCGTGAAGATCGCCGCCTAAGATTATTGGCCTTAAGGGACCGTTTCTCCACTACCAGGTCCATTGCAAATGAATGGTTTGCAGAACACGGAAGACCTATTGGCATGCGAAGTGTTTACCGACGAATGAGAAGTTTTGGCTTGTTTTCATACCGGCCACACTGGGTCCTCCCTTTAACTCGAGAACACCGACGTAATCGCCTTGAGTGGTGCAGACAACGGTCACTCTGGGATCAGGAATGAAACAGTATTGTCTTTAGTGACGAGTCTCGATTTTGTTTAGGCATGCACGATGGTCGTGCCAAGGTTAGAAGGCGACGTGGTGAAAGGAGGAATCCACAGTTTTTTGTTGAAAGACATGTTCATCACACTGTTGGAGTTATGGTTTGGGGTGCTATAGCTTATGGTTCCAGGTCACCTTTAATCTTCATCAGAGGTAACATGAACGCGCGGCGTTATATCCACGAAGTTCTAGAACCCCATCTTTTACCCTATCTTGACACCCTGGCAGATCCAACTTTCCAACAAGATAATGCCCGACCACATGTTGCAAGAGTCACAATAGACTTCTTTCAACATAATGATGTCACATTGTTACCATGGCCACCAAGATCTCCCGACTTATCCCCAATTCAGCACGTGTGGGATATGATGGGTAGGAGATTGCTCAATTTGCAACGTCCTCCTCAGACTCTAGAAGCACTTCGAGAGGAGTTGGTGGTTGCCTGGAATAAGATACCACAGGAGGACATTGACCACCTGATCAGAAGCATGCCTAGGCGCGTTGGAGAATGCGTAGCACATCAATGTGCATCCACACATTATTAAAGGTCAAAAGGCTTTAAAGCAGTGCAATCATTTTGAAATTTTTATCATTTACTTATTATGCTTCATTAAGTACTTATACAAAATTTTATTAAAATAAAACCATTTAAACTGGGTGTTCGGATTTATATGTCACTTAGTATACATCTAAGCAAGGACCATACACAAAGTTGCAATAGTTAAGGTGACACAAGACCAATACTACGCAGAGAACCTTTTTTAACTTAAAACTAAGAATATCTTTACTTTCGTAAATATTGCGAAGATTAAAATAGGCTTTTTGTAGAAGGCTAGACACATGACTTCGGAATCTAAGCTTGTTATCAAAGATAACGCCCACATTTTTATATTCCTCAACAACCGGTATTGCCACACCATCCGTTGCTATCACCAAGTTTACAGACGCCCAATCTTTAGCTGGCCCAAAGTGGATTATGGCTGATTTATTAGGATTCAATTTCAAGCCATGATTAAAAGAGTATTTAAAAACTGAATCCAAACACTCGTTTAGCCTCCTAGCCGCTTCAATTGCATCCGACTTAGCAAAAGAATGCTGAATCTGTGTATCGTCAGCGTATCTATGATTGTTTATATCACCAAAGCACTCCGACATATCAGCAGTAAAAATGATAAAAAAGGACCCAAAAGTGATCCCTGAGGAACTCCTCTATCCACATACAAGGGTTTTGATTTAAGCCCATCAATTGATACCGACTGCGATCTGTCATCCAAATAACTACGAATAAGTCGAATAGTCTTAAGTTTAAATCCATAGTAGAAAAGTTTTGAACACAGCAATGCATGGTTCAGGGTATCGAAGGCCTTGCTAAAGTCCAACAACACCAATGCCGAAGTTTCACCCCTGTCCGTAGCCAAAAGAATGTCATCTAGAACCTTCAACAGTGCCCTGGTAGTACCAAACCCTTTACGTAATCCATACTGCAACTTGTGTAATAAATTATTATCTGTAAAATGAGTAATGATTTGCCTATAAATAAGCTTTTCAAATACTTTAGACAGCACTGGTAGTATACTAATTGGTCGCAAATCAGAGACATCCTTAGGGCTGCTAATTTTAGGCAGCGGCAAGACCACAGCCGTTCTCCATTGCGCAGGAAAAATGCCCTTTTGTATGCAGGAATTGAATAGGTTAACAAGCACGGGTAAGATCGTTGGACAACACAACCTCACCATGTCAAGGCTAATTCCGTCTGCACCAGAGGCGTTTGACCCAATCTCCGATATTGCCCAGAAAACGTCATCTTCACTAACGAGTTTCAATTCAAATTCTGCGGTTGTACATTTGTAATTAAGATATTTAGTCGATAAAATATTGATTGATTGAATTTCTATATTTTTTTAGATCTGTTACAGATATTAAGCTGGTCTAGGGTTTTCCACATGTCTTTGGATTTTTTAGTACGACTGAAAAAATTAATATAAGCTCTCTTTTCTTGTCGAACAGCTGACGTAAAAAAATTCCTCATTTCTTTGTAGGATGCCCAATCCCGTACATTTTTAGTACGTTTGTATTTAGAGAAAAGATAGTTACGGTGATTCTTCATCGCACGCGACGCATCAGTAAACCACCATTAGCTCTCGTTTATCAGTTTTAAATAGCAATACAGCTTTGCGCATAGTATCTATTCTTGTTATGGCTTCGACTTCTATGTAAATCCGTTCGTAAGCCGCACTATCACTGCACCGTTCGCCACGAAGAAACTTAAATTGTACCAAGAAGAGTCAAATCCACATTGTAATCCAGTTGAAAATCGATGTTAATTTAAACTTAAGCCCCCGTTGACATCCGTAGGAATTGCATTGTGTATGCTGCGTCGAGCAAGACCGCAACTCCGCAAAGTTGCTCTAGAGAGTTTGCCGTACTGCTGCCAGCTAAATTAACGTCGCTGGTTCAATTGACTTAATTAGTCTCGACCAATTAGAAACGTTATCAAATTATTAATCACCGGCTAGCGTTGATATGCTTGGATTGCGGTCGCCATAGAACAATAGATACCAGATAGCGGCCGAGATTGAGATGGATACGGTACGTAGTCAGACTGTCCACTATAACATACCGGGTGGATCAATAATAAGCAATGCGCGGTATATGTCGGCAAACGCAAAACCTGTAAAACATCAAAAAAAACTATAAAATGTCATCTTGCAGACTAGGTAGCTTTTAGGGTGTAAACAGTCATTCCACGTTTGCTCACTAGGATCGTTGTGAGCGGCTATCTATTGAGGAATGACTCAACTACACGCATTGATGGTTGCATATGTTTTGTGAAGACGAGTAGTCTGTAATTCAGAAAATCATCACTGAATATGCTGTTAATAAAGTATCTTTAGGTATTTATTAGCTGTGCCGAACGGGTTATTTAAAATTTCAAATTCAAAAATACATTTTCTATGCTGTTCAGAAAGTGCATAAAAAGTCCTATGAAATGGTGAAAATTACTGATCAATAATTTTATTTTGTATGAAGGACTATCAAGAAATAGATTTAAATTACAATTTTCACTTATTGCTGGAGAAGAAGAAGGATGTATGCTATGATATGATGCTGTGTGAAAAATGTACTAATATTACAGTCCCTTGCCATATTATTGGACTCATGCTTAAAAATGAAGTTTTCCTGGCGTATAACACGCCAGTAGACATTTACTAAGCTTATCCATGATGAAACATCAAAATTTATTATAAATACAACAAATGTCACATAGAAAATTAGAAATTTACATGAAAATGGAATCTTTTCACATGAAAATACATTTTTTTGCAAAAATCAGTATTTTGTATGACCACCTTTCGCAGCCAACACAGCTTCAACGCGACGTGGCATACTGCTTATACAGTTTTGAATTTTTATTTTGAGCTCTGGGTTATGTTTCCAAGTGTCATTAAGTATATTGATCAACTCTTGCTTGGTTGTAGGGGCTTTCATCGTAACCTCAGATTTCAAAAACTCCCAGACGTTCTCGATGGGGTTCATGTCAGGCGAATTTCCTGGCCAGTCGAGAATATCTACTTTTTTTTTCAGCTAAAAATGTTGTAATTTTTGTGCACGATGGCAAGGCGCACCATCATGCATAAAAATTGGCTTTTCTCGTTTGTGGAACCATTTTTTCACTTGAGGGAGCAGCTGGGTTTCCAAAACTTCCTGATATTTTTCGGCATTCATTGTACCATCGACAACGTATAAGGCCCCTTGTCCCTTATAACTGATAACTGACCATACCATTACCGAAAGAGGATGTTTAATGGTCGGCACAATGCATTCTGGCTTATATTTCTCATTTGTCCTTCGCCGTACAAACTACGATTTGTCGACCAATACTTGGAAAATCGACTCGTCCGAAAAACATACCTGAAAAACGTCATAGAATTTAGATTAAACAAAATCTACAGTACAAGAACGACTTGAATATAGTTATATAGCATTTATTTACGTTCTTCCAGTTATCAGTCGTGAAATCCTTGTATTTTCGTGCCCATTGGTATCGCTTTGATATCATAGCAGGTGTAAGTCTTGGTTTGCGTGCTGGTCTACGTCCAATAAGACCCTCTTCAGCTAACCTCCGCTGCACTGTTCTTTGCGAAACTTCAATGCCAGCTTCAAGAACTTTTTTTGTAAGGATTTTTATCGGCAGTTTTCGATTTTCAACACAAATATTGCGAATTTTTCGGTCACTTCTCTCTGTCGCGATTCTCCGACGACCGCACGCACCTTTACGTTTGGCTCTCAGATTTTCACCGAGGTCTATTTTTTGTTTAATTCGTTTTACAGAACTTTGAGAAACTCCAATAATTCGCGCTATTTGGTATTGTGACATGTTTCGTGCTTCCAGCATGCCGGAAATTCGACCAACTTTTATTGGCAACAAGTCAGACAGTTTTCCCATTCTGAAATTGTTTTTTATCATAATATGGCCTCAAAACGTGTAAATATATATATGATCAGTGTTGCCAAAACGATAAAAGTGCCCGCGATATTCAAAAACTCAAGTTCTACCAACATATCTGTAAAAAGTTCATAATAACAACAAGAAATATAAAGTAAAAGTAGAATTGCAGCATGAGTCTAATACTATGGCAAGGGACTGTACATATGACACGATTTCAATATGTACATATATTTTACTTTAAAATTTCTTTCACGCTTTTTGAAACCGCTAGGGGGCGTAGCTATCGCCAGACAGATTGAAGAAAATTCTTCATCCAAATATACTTATTTATCCACAAAAATCTAAAATGTTATTCTTTTGCGCACAAAGAAAAACATACAATGTAATACAGCTCTTAAACATTCAGATAAATAACTGCAAATTCTGCAAAAATTATTGGTGTTGTTTTTGATACAAAATTAAGGTTCATTGAACATTTTAAAAGCTTTTCTCAGAAAACCTACCTACGGCTACGTACTCTTATAGCAAACAGGTATTTACTAAATTTTAAGTTGAGTAAAAAACTATGTGAAGCATTGGTCATATCTATACTCAATTATTGTAATATCGTATACTACACTTGTTTAGACAATTTCACTAAAAACGTTATTCAAGTTATTCAACACAATTGTATACGTTTCATCTTTGGCTTACGTAAATTTGATCATGTATCAGTGAAATATCCCGTTCTAAACTAAACTAATGACATGGCCAAGTATCACTATTCAGTTTTTGTTCACAAATTGCTGTTCACGTCTAAACCCTCTTACTTGAGGGAAAAAATCATTTAATAATGATGTTCACTGTAGAACTCTCAGAAAAAATAATATTAGAATACCCCAGCATACGTCTACACTTTTTAAACGCTGTTTTTCCTACAATGTTGCTATTATTTATAATGACCTTCCGAAAATATATAAAGAATTTTCATTGCCTGTTTTTCGACAAAAAGTTAAAACAATATTACTCAACCCTCCAAACATATAATTTAAGCAATCGTGCATTTCTTTTTTATTCCTTCTTTAATTCAGGTTAATAATTTTTGGTGTACTTGGGTTTGGAAAGTATTCCTTTTTCTTTTTTAAATTTTTACTTTCGATGTAACGCATCAAATCTGTTTGTGGATAGTGTATACTTTAAAACATCTGCTAGCGACTATATGGTCAAGTGTAAGAATAGCACCATACTAAACTTTGAGAAAATTTTGCGTTAATGCAAATATTATAGTTTCTTTAATGACTCGTTGAAATTCATAAGTAGCTTCCTCACAAATATGTCTCAGAAAGTCGTTATTGATACCGACTTTTCATCTGAATGTTTGATTCCTTCGGGAGTACCACAAGGCTCAGAACTTGGACCGCCTCTGTTTCTAATGTACTCGTATAATATCCCGTTTAAACAAAATTCTAAAGTACTGCAATATTCAATTTTCTTGCAGACGATTCACAACTATATTTTAGGTTTGATCACAATAATATGATTACTGCTGAATTTCACATGTCAGAATATTTTAAATCCATTGAAACTTAAGCCACCGAACACACCCTTCCGTTAAATCCGTCTAAACCTAAAGTATCAATTTTTTCTCTTAAAGAACTTAGAAGTCATATTAAAAGATTAAACGGCAGTGTTATTCAAATTGAGGAATCAGCAAAAAATGTAGAGGGATTTTTTTACGAGAACCTCAAGTTCATACCTCACGTAAATAACATTACTGAGAGACGCCTTGCTGTCTTACGTCAAGTATACGATATCTTAACATGCAAATACTTGATTTTAGTACTAAAAAAATCCATGCGAAACAGCGTTAGTAGTAGACTGATTCTTAACCTACGAAAGTAAAATCGCGTTAAGTTTCACTCATATATTTATTTATTTTTATTTACCAAATTTACAGGTGACCCCATTTTTTACAAAATAAAATCACGAAACGGGAACAGCATTTTCAGCATACAAGCTCACAAGCCATAATTATGAAAATCACAATTTAAAAGATAATTTTTAAAGCGTGTACAGGTATAAATGTTAATATTTGACTGACCTAAATTGATAACACGGAATGCTCTATCGAGTGGAGAGTGCTGACCATAGGTTGTGGGATGGAACTTAATCGCAAGCAGACTATTATTACGCAATGTTCTACGGGGTACATTAAGATTTGTTAACAAAGTTTCGCAATTGGTGATCCCCAATAAAATCTTGAAGGATCAAGCGTCTATGCTCCAATGTAGGCAAAAGCAAATGATCTAACATGTCAGCTCTATGATATTCCGTCATCTTTAAGTTCGTCCTTAATGCTGCAAGACGTAAAGATTTATACTTTGCACGCTCTAAATCATCTTTATAACACGGGTAGTGAGGGGACGATACTACTGTGGCATATTCTAAATTTGATCTTACCAAGGAGCAATATAAAATTCGAAAGGTATTGATTGAAAAACACTTACAGTGTGTAAAGTTAAGCCTTTCATCAAAAAGCACTCCAAGATCCCTAGCGGTAGCCTTATTTAATCTATAGCCAGTTGAAATTCTACTCCTACTTTTAAAAAACTTATAAAAGAGCATTTATTAGAGTTCAGATACAAGTGATTAAGCTGTGTCCACTGCCACAGCGCATCAAGGTCCACCATGTCATCTTTCTCCGTTATTATCTTGTAAATTTTTAGGTCATCAGCAAACATAGTTCCTTTGGAATTAATAAGAACATCAGGGATGTCATTCACAAACAAAATGAAGAGAACAGGAGCACAATGGGACCTCTGAGAAACCCCTGATGTGACCTTGAATTTCGAAGACAGATGTCCACTAATTTTTACAGATTGAGTCCTACCCTCAAGGAAGCTCTCCAACCATCTTATAGTGTTTTCTAAAAAACCATAAACTGACAGCTTTGCCAATATAATGTCGAAGTTCACTCTGTCCAAGGCTTTGGAAAAGTCTGTGTAGATTGCATCCACCTAGTGACCCTTTTCCAAGGCCTCCTACAGATCGACTTTATAAGACACCAAATCTTCCACAGTTGATCTACCCTTAGTAAACCCAAATTGACAGCTACTTTCAAGACAGTTAAGTTGATCGTATATCAAGCTATCAAAAAGTTTCGGAATTGATGACTGGGTACATACACCTATATCATTGCTAATATCTTCATCTCCTGACTTAAAAATTGGCTTAATATAACTATGTCAAGAAAAACACATGTTTGGATGGACATGTTACAAATAAGATACAAGGGTTTAGTAAGTGTAAAGATATATTATTTGAGAAAAACCTCTGGAATTTGGTCAGCACCCGAGCTGAACTTCACTGGGAGACTTACGATTTTATTAAATACTTCCTCAAGAGAAATTTTGTTTAGTAGTATATCTCATGTCTTCTCAAATAAAAAAGAGGGTACAGGATGTACAGACCCATCATAATACACCACTAAAGTGCTTTGCAAACAATTACTCATTGTCTTCCCATCTTGCAGTCTAACTCCCTCTAAGTGCATACTATTAGGTAAGCTACTTGAATTTCCTAAACTCTTTACGCATCCCCAAAAGCGCCGTGGATCGGCTACCAAAGATTCCTGAACTCGATCATAATATGACATCGCTTATGTATGTTCTTCTTTACATAAGGAGCGTAACTCTGAGAAAGTCACATAGTCCTCATATTGGTTTGTTTCTATAAAAATCGTATGGACAATATTTTTAAAGCTGAACCATTTAGGATAACAGGAATTTTTTATCCGCTTTTGAGACACAAACCAATCCAGGCAATTTTGTAAGACTCCATAAAACCTGTCAACTGCCACATTCACACATCACCAAATAATGCCTCCCA